GTGATGGTATTAGGAGGTGGGGACTTTGAGTGGTGATTAGGTCGTGAGGATAGAGACCTCATGACTGATATTAGTGTCCTTGTAAAAGAGACCCCATCAAGCTCCCTCACCCCTTCCACCATGTGAGGACACAGTGAGAAGACAGCCATCCATGAATCAGGAAGCGGGTCCTCACCAGACACTGAATCTTCCAGTGCTATGATCTTGGACTACCCAGCCTTCTGAACTGAAAAAAAAAAAATGCATTTGTTGTTTAATCTTCCCAGTATATGGTGTTTCTTATACAGCAGCCCAAACAGCATGAAAACTGGATTTTACTCCATTGGATAGTGTTCATCTCTATTTTCAATATCTCTGTTATTTGGAATAGTTGCCACTGAGAGAGTTAGAATTTAACTAGAATACAAGCAGGGATAAACATCTACTTTGTGCACAGTTCTGTCATTGTCTGAGAACTGTGGGATAAAGTAAAGCACACACCAGCATCCAGGGTGTTCAGGGTTCAGGGTGGTGAGTCCAGGGCTCGGATCTCCTGGGCCATCAGTCAGGACTAAATGAAGAAGCTCTCCAGCACCCCACTGCTGCTATGCTAACTGTTCATTCTTTCTCCCTTTCTCTGATCGCCCCACTTCAATGAGTTCTTCATCTATCTTATCTCACCATTTCTACTATTTCACCTTTTCTCTCTTTCTCCATCAAAATTATTTTTCTCTTGCACATTTACCAACCTGATTATTTTTCTAGAACCTCCTTCAGCTTGTCTCCCCTGTCCCTTCTCACCAAGTCTATCTTATCCTTCCTACCTTTCACAGGTACACTGCAGTGGTCATGCCAGTTCACTACCAACACGGCACGGGACAGAGCTCCTGTCGACGTGTGGCCCTCATGATTACAGCCGTCTGGGTCCTGGCCTTTGCTGTGTCCTGCCCGCTCCTCTTCGGCTTTAACACCACAGGTAACAATTATGGCCCCACTTCCAAAACCCATGTGACTCACAGCACATGTGAGTGGTTACAAGCGGTGCTCAGCCCTGAAATTACTGACCTTTGGTCAGTGCACTTTGTAATCAAATGAAGATGCTGTAGACTGCAAAGCTTTTGACCTCCTTTGTTGGTTATAATAAAAATATAAAGCAAACTTCATTGATTATTGGCACAGGGATAAAATTCTGCCCCTATTAATGAAAAACCTGGCTTATTCCTATTTTGAAAGAAATGTCATTGTATTCGTTTGAAGAAATGCACCAGTTAAAAAACTAAGCCATATTAATAATTTAGGTGAGGTTTGCTAATGAAAATATTACAATTCATAATTGACTTACAGTGCAAAGTAACATGTAACAGCCCTCAAGTGGGATATACATTTCTAATTTTTGCTCAGTAAGAATCATTTCTAGAATTTTGGAACTAGTACAGATCCCTAAGTTATTGATGGTTATATTTCTTATATTTTAATATACAAAAAATTCTAGCCATAATGGTTAGCACATGGTACAACTTCTTTTGGAAGGATGGATGGATGGATGGATGGACAGATGGATGAACAATGTGTATATCTGAGATATTTGAGATTTTAGACATGACACCAGTCCAAATTTACACCTCATATGGATCAGTGCCCTCTTGTATGTTCCATGTCCATCTTTTGGCCTCAGAAATTTCATCTGTTGAACAAAAACTATTTTCATATAGGAAAGCTATAGGTATTGGTGATAAATACTGAGTCTTTACTAAGAGAGAACTGATTGACTCTTTTTCTAATGTTAATTTGGATTTCTTATTTTGTCCATTTGAATTGGTTCATTCAATTCCTACTGCGTTCCACGTTCGTGCTTTCTAGTATATGTGTACAAGTCACATAGCTAGCCGTGTGTTTAGGTATTATGCAGACATTCTATGTAACACATTACATATAAATACAGGAAAATTCTAACCTATAAATAGTCTTCAAAGAGCCATTTGCTGGACAATGATTTAGAAGTCAAAACACATTTAGAAAGACAGACAGAGACAAGTCAAAACAACCTAGATTCAAACTCCAATTCTACTACTTACCAGCTGTGTCTCCTTGAACAAGTCACCTAACTTTTCTAAGTGTCCTTATTGATCAGTTTGGAATAATAGTGTAGTGGAGCATAAACTTGAGCAAATTCAAATGTGTAGACTCAGTCTGTATATTCAGTTAGGAAGATTTCAATGTTTGCTGTTATATATGACTTCCTACAAATAACCCCGGCAACTTCATCTCTAAAATTACACGGTGCGTTTGAACTCTTTAGAATGTATCATTCATTTTACTTATTACTGTTCAGAGCTGTAATCAAATCATGTATCTTTTTATGTGATTCAGGGGATTTTTCTAAGCAAATTTCAACTCTATAATTTTTACTTTACTCATTCATTGACTTTAGAATCTAACCCTACATATGGTATAATTCCACTTTACCTCCTTCGTAGACTTTTTTACAATTAAATGAGGATTAAATTGGGATAACATAGATAGACGTGCCAGTACATACCAACTGTTCAAGGTCAGGCTTGTTTCTCTGCCACATTAAAGGTTAAATAGCCGAATTATTCAACAAATACTTGCCTGTTTAACTCAGGGTGTTCCTAAAATACGGTGTTACTATCATCTTTGCGTTACTCTTTACCATGAGTTATTTTGTTATTTTCACTGAATGACACTTTATACACACAAGTATATATGTACACACACACACACCCCAAAGTAACATTCCCCAACATGATGATAGAGACTGACTGGCACTAAAGTACCAGTTTTGATGAGTGTTAAGTATGCTTTCTGGGTAAGTCTGATAACTAAGCCACCTTATATATCTTTGTTTCAGTACAAAAAATGCATTCTAAGTTGGTATTTTTAGCATGGGGCACTCACTACCACTGTTAGACCAAGGCATTGCTTAACCGTCCCTTCCCCGCCTCCCTGATCAGCAGCAAATCCCCACCAACGTTTGCAGGACTAGGTAGGTCCTCGTACTTATTCTTGGAGACTGGTGGAGGGGTCTTATTCATTCTCACACACACAGGCACACACACCCTGGTAAGAGTTAAAACAGTCTCAAAATCTGGCATTAGAGGTCTCAGTTAATGTCAACATCTAAAGTGAAGAAGAATGATGAGCTCATTGCAGTGTTGTTGCCACCAATGAGATCATTATTTTTCCAGAAACAAAACTCAGAAAAAAATCCTTCCAAAAGGATTTTCAAATATAGAATTGAGATGGTAGAGAATGCCCATGACTGAGCGTGTACACTCTCACTTCTCTCGTAATCTCTCACTCTCTCTTACCTTTAAGATTACTAACAAGGCTATGGTAAGCCCTCCACTTATTCATATGTTATGTCCAAGTGTTGGGTCCAGCAGAAGACCCCATTAGACATTAGCTAATGGTGTTGTTGTTGTTATGTATTAGGAATGGTTTCTGTGCCTCAAAATTTAACTATGTACCTGTTCCAAGGAAAAATCTGAACAGCTGTAATTCTGGTAGTTATAGAGGAGACCAGTTGTCTCATCCGAAAACTCGGTTCAGGGATTAGTGAGCAGAACTCAAGGCGGGAGTCCCAGCATCCTTCTCTGCCTCAGTCTGTCCTTCACAGAACGGCATCATTATCTTCATAGATGTGGGTTCCTCCAGCACCTCTTCCATCTATAAGGAAGTTCCCAAGGCCATTCAAAAGCCCAATATAAACGACTTCTCTCAGCTACTATGTTTTTCTACTCTCTCTGTGAAAAGCAGAGGAGAAAGGGGCAGGATACTGCAATAACACCTGATATTGGAAGTAAATGAACTTTTACTAACAAGTGAAACACAAAAGGACATTCTGACAGAGTTCTTTCTTTTTATGAAACGGGCTGCCATGCGGGATTGTGAATTGTCAGAGAACAGAAGGGAGCGAAAAGTTGAACTTCAGTTTCTTTCAACTTGGAGTTGCTCCTATTGACTGAGGAAAGGTCAATATGTATTTCTGGATGTACATTTAAGGCAGGGTCTTGAGTCATAGAGAGTTTCAAGGCTGTGGGGCCTGGCTGCCCAGCGTTGCCCCTGATCCCAGCGGAGGCCCCGAAGTCTAGCCCAATATCACACCATCAACAGCCCCCAACAGCCGTGGAGCATGGAGTGTTGGTGCTGGAGAAAAGCCTAAAGATCCCTGAATGAGCAGCCCACTCCTTTCATTTCACAGACAAGAAAAATAACTAGTATTTAAATTTTTGCTAAATCAGATAACTATTGTGTTATAAAAAATTCTAGAGTGAATAAGCAATAGCTGGTGATGAGGGTGTAAGAAATCCTCAAGGGAGAAAAAACTTAAAGCCGAGAAAATCCTATCAGGTAGCTTAACTTTTGTTTGAAACAAAGACATGGAGGAGTGCAATTATTCGGTTTTAGCAATATAACACCTCACCTGACCTTCAGAGCACTGGAGCTGGGAGGAGTTTGGTTGAGAAGCACAAAGTTAAAAGAATAGTAAGCTCATTCTAAAATCAGACTCATCAGGATCTCCTGCCTTTGCAAACAAGTAGAGGATAGACCTTTCGATGAGCTTCAAGTCCATTATCTCTCAGGTCAACCTGCTTCTGGCCTTGCTGCTCACATCACTGTGGGGCCAAGTTGCCAGGCTAGCCCACAAAAGCTTTTTAGACTCATTAGCAAAGCTACTGAGTGTTTTATCACCCCACACAGTGCCTCGAACACAGTAGGTGCTCCATAAAATTATGTTGAATGACATCATTCCTCCTTCTTATCATTTCCTCCTTAAATGTTGAGATGAGGTGGGATAAACATCTGTCTCAGAGAATGAGGAGTAACCCCCGGCCTCCCCTTTATCCTCCAGTCAGTGACTCTATGTGTTTCTGTAAAATGCTCATCTACTTTGCGCACTTATTCATCATTCATGTATTCATTCAATAACTATTGGGGTGACCGCACAGTACTGTGTTATTTTTTTTTCATTCTTTATTGTTGAAAGTTTTACATATGTCTCCTTTTTCCCCCATTGACCTCTCCCCCCCCCCCCCCCCCCCCCCCCCCACTCCCAAAAAAAAATCCCCACCCACCACCCCCCAGCACATGCCCCCGCCCTCATATTGTCTTTGAGCATAGTGCTGTTTTAATTAAATAATTAAAACAAGGTACCTCCTGAGGCAGCTCCTGGGGAAGCTGAAGCTCCTGTGAAAGCCTCACTGCCCTCGCCTCCTCGGGACTCAGCAGAAAGAAGCTTCCAGAATTGCTGGTGTGGGGGCCTTACTCTACCCTGCAAATAGGACCTACACCCAGGTCAGACCTGGTGGGGACTGGAGTAGAGTCCCACTCGCTGGCCACTTGCCTCCTATGTCACTCTGCCTGCTGACAGTCCTCCCAGGATTCGGGGAGAGGCTGCCAAACATGGTGTGAGGGCAGGCAGCAGGGGAGGAAGGATGGGATGACAATGTAGGATCAGTGATTATACATCAGGGCCTTCATTGATTAGCGACCCTGAAATCACTACATGCTCTCTTCACTCTGTTTCTTATATATATGCTTTCACTATTTTTACTGCAAAAATAAATATCTGCACATGATAAAACATAAGCTGTAATGGGAGACATATACATACTTCTATGTATCTCTCCCTTCTACCCCAATTGCTAATTCCTTCATCTCCCTCCCAAGGAGCAAACACAAGTACATATACTCGGGCATGTGCACACGCACATACATGTTTGTGTGTGTATGTGTGTGTATCCATTTTTACACAAATAGAAGCACAATATACCTACTTGTGCTCCTGGCTTTTTAAAAGTAGTCGTTAATATATAGCATTTAGAAGTCAGCCTCCCAGAACCCAGAGGAGGGTAGAGAAGGGTAGAAGGTATACCTGGAGGGACAAATGGATATGCTTTCGCTATTTTTACTGCAAAAATAAATATCTGCACATGATACAACATAAGGTGTAATGGGAGACATATGCATACTTATATGGATCTCTCCCTTCTACCCCAATTGCTAATTCCTTCATCTCCCTCCCAAGGAGCAAACACAAGTACATATACTCGGGCATGTGCACACGCACATACATGTTTGTGTGTATGTGTGTGTATCCATTTTTACACCAACAGAAGCTCAATATACCTACTTTTGCTCCTGGCTTTTTAAAAGTAGTCGTTAATATATAGAATTTAGAGGTCAGCCTCCCAGAACCCAGAGGAGGGTAGAGAAGGGTAGAAGGTATACCTAGAGGGACAAATGGAGACTATCTAGCACACCAAGGAGGCAACAAGGTGAATAGCAGGGACGTAGCCCTGCTACCCCTCTAGCCCACTTCTTACTAGCAAAACGTGCTGAGGTGCCTCTCATCATAAATCATGGTCAGACGCTGATGACAGGAGAGCTCATGGCTGTTTAAAAGTTCAGAAGACCACCTGCTGCCACCCTATTCCTACCTCTGACCCCAACCCCCTCAGGCCAGAAGATGCCAATCTCTGGCCACTGCTCAAAGCTTCATGAGCCATTTCCTGAAGGACACTGACACCGGCTTTGGTAGGATGGTACTAATGTGACGACCTTTTCATCCCCTCCCCAGGAGAACCGGAGAATTGGCGAGTAGCTCATGAAGATTCTGGTGGCGGTGCTGTCGTTAAAATCCTCACTAAGCTCTGAGCACTCTTTTTGGTTGTTTGTTTTAATTCTTAGTTGTTACTTCCTCCCCCACTCCACCCCCCAAACATTGTTCCCTGTAAGTCTCACTCCAAATTTCTATTCCAAGTGATCCCATCCCTTTTCAGTTCAAAAATATCTTCTGAGACCAGGTTTGGGTTGGAGAATGCCCAGCTCTTTATGAAGACTGGCCAGGTGTACCAACAGCTGTTGCTGACAGTGCTGAACAAAGCACAAATATGCCATACCCCACTGGTTTAGAGGGAGGTGGAGTGTCCAAATCACAGAAAGAAGATTGGTTTGGGGGTCAGAGTGGCTAGAGGAATGTATCCAGGCTCCACCCCTTTCAAGCTGTGTGATGTTGGGTCACTTACTAAACCTCTCTGAGCCCTAGTCTACTCATCTGAGAATAAAGTCAGTAATAGCACCTGTGTCACATAATGTTTCCATAACGATTAGGTAAGATAATGTGGATAAAGCCGTTGGCATATCACCTGCAAGGTATTAGTTTGCTTTCCATTTCTCTTTCAAGAGGGGCAAGCTCCAGGCCCTCTTCTGGGCATTGGAAGAATCACAACATCTGCTAGTGATGAAGGCAGAGCTACAAGGCCCTCCCAGGAGGAGTGGCAGGAGCATTCCCGAACATAGAACAGAGACAAGGACCCTCCTCAATTCACATTGTCCACAATGACAATATCCTTACTGGTCCTCTTCCCATCTCACTGCTGGCCGTGGCTGGAATTCCTTGAAAAATCAAATGCCTGTCTCATATTCAGCCACCACCTGCCCCATATCCTGGATTCAAAATGGAGACCTGGCATTCTCAGCAAAGAAGGCTTCCTCCATTCAGTGCATTCAGCAATCCTTTCAGGCCTCCACTCCGCAGGCCCCTTCCTGGGGCTGCATCCCTCCCGCAAGCCCCTGGCTCATTGCTCAGTGACACTCGCCCCAGCCTCCCAGGCTGCATTCCTCCATGGCACTTAGCACAGCATATGGAAGGGATCATCTGTCTGTCTAGACTCTAGACCCATGGTCAGCAAACTGCGGCTCGTGAGCCACGTGCGGCTCTTTGGCCCCTTGAATGTGGCTCTTCCTAAGCCTTAGGAGTACCCTAATTAAGTTAATAACAATGTACCTACCTATATAGTTTAAGTTCAAAAAATTTGGCTCTCAAAAGAAATTTTAATCGTTGTACTGTTGATATTTGGCTCTGTTGACTAATGAGTTTGCCGACCACTGGCTGTGAGCTCCTTCAAGGGCAGATGCGGTGTCATGCCTCTTCACAGTCCCAGTGTCTGGCATGTAATCATTGATTTTTTTAAGTGAACTGTGAGCAACACAAAGCTACATGAGACCTCCTACCCTCAGTGAGCTGACAACATAGCAATCAGGACCTATGTGCTAACTACACAAAACAGGCAAAAGTAAAGAGTTGTGAGGCACAAAGGAAGACAGAGTTGCTTCTGAATAAGAAACTCAAGTAAGCCTCCCGGATGAGGCAGCATGTGAACTGGGGCACCGTGAGGGTGTAGGTGGGACCGGGAATCCCTGCTCCTCCAAGCTCCGTGTAGATCAAAGGGTGCAGATACCACGTGTGGTTTGGGCCATATTTTGTGCTCCCCATTGAGGTCTCATATTTAGCAAACTGCTTTGCTTTCTCCTTTTCTGTCACAGGAGACCCCAGTGTCTGCTCCATCTCCAACCCTGATTTTGTCATCTACTCTTCAGTGGTGTCCTTCTATCTGCCCTTCGGAGTGACTGTCCTCGTCTATGCGAGGATCTATGTGGTACTGAGACAGAGGAGACGGAAGCGGATTCTCACTCGACAGAACAGTCAGTGCATCAGTGTCAGGCCCAGCTTCCCCCAACACGTAAGCATGTGGGAGGGGCAGAGGGAAGACAGCACCCGACTCCGTGGCCTCCCAGCCTGTGTCCAGCAGTGAATGTTTTTGCCTGAACTGCCACTTTGGAGACACACATCTGACCCCCACCTTCTAATCTGCTGGTCTTGGCTCTGCTTTAGAGATAGTAAATTCAATCCAAAAAGTTCACTGATAGTCTTTCCTAGAGCACATCTTACTTGGGAAGATGATAGGATAGTTTCTAAACATGTTCTGCTTCCCTTCAAAGTCTTTCATTGTCCCCAAATGGCCAGAAGTTCGGATGTCACACAGGGTTCAAAGTTTTAGTGTGACAGTTGCATTATGCACTGCTAGAAGGTTCCCGAGACGAACTTTCTGGCCAGATCACTCATTCCAAAAATTATTGGGGTCCATCAAAGTCTCCTTTCTTTACTATGTCAGTCCCTGTATCCAGGCATTGACAAGCTGGTACACTGTGATGCTGATGATGCATTTTTGGGATCTTGTTAGACTCTGACAAGGAAGATTGTTGCCTCAACACTGATCTTCCAATTTCTGGGGTTTTAAGTTCTGCTTATCCCAGTGCCCAGTGTCATAGTAGTTTACCCACAATGTACTTAAAGCATGAATGGAGACATACCAAACACTTGAAATCTTACAGGGAAGGGACGGCAGGAACATTATACAGCCTCTGCCTTCATGGAGCTTGGACTCTAAACAAGCAGATAAGCACACCTCCACCCAAAGTTAATGAGCAGCCCAAAAGTGAGTGAGATGTTTGCCAAATGTTAAGTGAAGACAATTGAGCCCTCAGATATTGAATGCCTTTGAAGTTATGAGAAGAAAGAGATCAATATGCTTAGGAAAGAGGTTCAGAGACAGAGTAAGAACTGAATTTGATCTTTAAGGCATTTGGATGTCTAGATCAATCTGAGTGAGGGTCAAACTCTCAAAGTTGAAGTCCCAAGGCTTGAGTAGAACAAGAATATTAATCCTCATGAAATAGGAGGGCGGTGCTGGAGGATGAGAATACGAACATACTGTGTTTAAACCATTGTCATCTTTATGGTTCAACTGTGTAGAGCTTAACCTACAACTATTTCTCCTTCAACCTACCCTAGTCTTCCTGTCTTCGGCTGCACCCCATTCGGCAATTTTCACTAAGGGCCAGATTTCCATCAGATGCCACAGGGAAAATGGTAAGTAAACCACACCTTTAATTACAGGAAAAGAATAAGAGATATTTTCTCAAAGATCCTGGCTTGACTTGATTCCACTTCCATTCCAAAATAGAATCTAGCCCAATCCCACACTTGTATCTACAATATAGAACTGATATGAGATCCTGCCTGATTTGAGCTTCAGAATAAGAATCAGCAAATGACACTCAAAAAGCATATGGCTATTGGGTGAGATCCCAGTGACTGGAGCCAAAGACTCTTGGAAAGAAAATAGGATTCCACCGAGTCTCCTATCTACCTACTCCAGGACTTCTGTGAGGATCAAATGAGATGAGGCACTGGAAAACGCTTCACAGACATTTGGTTAAAGTGTAAAATGTTTCCACCTAGCTATAAAGCAAGTCATGTTCCTGGGCTGAAGAAACTCCAAAGAGACTAATCACTAGAGAGAGGAAGCCAGGCATTGCTACCTGACATCATTACCTGATGCCCACAGCCACCGTTTCCTGGCTGGGCTGGGCTGTGGGCCACATTTTGCGCCATGGAATCTCGGCAGCATCGGCTGCGATTTGGTAGGGTGTCGCTCCAGCATGATTGCAGGGCCTGTGTCCACTTTAGGGAAGCCGAGCATTGCTTTGTGGGTGACAGGTCCGTGGTGCCGTTTATTGTTAAATGGCCTGTTGCTAGGGAGAGGAAGCCAGGCATTACTATGTGACGTCATTACCTGGTGCCCACAGCCACTGTTTCCAGGCTGGGCTCATGGCCAATCTTATTTCATCTATACCCCCACTTACATTCACATAAACTCATTGGATTGTTATGAAGCAAATTCCAAATGTCATAGCATTTCAAAATACTTTGTAAGACTCTCTAAAAATATTTTGTGCCATGGGGTCTCGGCAGTGTTGGCTGCGATTTGGTGGGCTGTCACTCTAGGGTGGTGGTGGGGCCTGTGTCCCACTTAGGGGAAGCCGAGTGTTACTTTGTCGGCGTCAGGTCTGTGGTGCCGTTTCTCTGTACATGGCCAGTGCGCATCACGACAGCTCCTACGTTGAGCATCTGTCCCCTGGTGGCCAGTGCACATCATGGGGACAGGTTGGACGGTCGGACACTTAGCATATTAGCCTTTTATATATATAGGTATCCAATATGCAAATTTTTCTCAATTGTCTCATAAATTTTTTATAGTTGGTTTTTTTGAATCAAAATTCAAGTAAGATCCATATTTTGCAACTGGTAAATGTTATTGTTGTCATCATTGCAATTTATTTGTTGAAGAAACTGAGTAGTTTGTTCAGATTTTGTTGCTTACATCCCAGTGGTGTCAGTTAACATGTTCCTCTGTATATCCTAGCCATTCTAACGTAAAAAGGCCAGGCTATAATCCTATGCTCTCCCCCTCCAGGGATGACTGTGATTCTCACATGTTGTACATGTGGCAGGTACTTTTAAGTGTAGAGTCAAAAGCAGATTTTACTTACCTTAACTTTCCATGGTCCAATCACTCTCAGATGCTCCCTCTGCAGGTTTTGTGTGTGTCTGTGTGTGTCTGTGTGTGTGTGTGTGTGTGTGTGTGTGTTCCAATAAATTTTTATTCACCAAAACAAGTAGCGGGCCAAATTTGACCTGCGGGCTATATAGCCTGTCAATGCCTGGCCTTTATAAATCAAAGGGAAAAAAATTATTGCACTATCATTGATCAGATCATGAAAATGTGTGGGGAAAAGATATATTAGCAATATTTGCATCATAAATTGATTATCGGATGATACATTTTTTCTTTTTTTCATTTTTCTTTATTGATTAAAGTATTACATATGTGTCATTATCCCCCCATTGTCCCCCTACCCCCCCACTCATGCCCTCACACCCATAATGCTCTCCAGTTCCATCCATACCATTGCAACAGTATGGATGGAACTGGAGAGCATTATGCTAAATGAAACAAGCCAGTCAGAGAAAGATAAATATCACACGATCTCACTCATTTGAGGAATATAATGAACAACATAAACTAATGAACAAAAGCAGATCCAGAGACAGAAAAGCATCTATCAGACCATCAAACCTCAGAGGAAAGGCAGGGGAGGGGGGTGGGTAAGGAGGAGAGATCAACCAAAGGACTTGTATGCATGCATATAAGCCTAACCTCTGCAGGTTTTACACAACGATGGATTCCCCTTCCTTCGTTGCCTCCTCTTTTTCTTTCAGGGACATTCAGAAGATAAGCAATATCCCCAGAAATGTCAAGACCCTCTCTTGTCACACCTGCAGCCCCTCTCCCCTGGCCGGGCACACATGGGGCTGAGGCGCTACTATAGCATCTGCCAAGATACAGCCTTCGGGCCACCAGGCTTCCATGAAGGAGAAGGAGAGTTGAAAAAGGATGCAAGCACTCGAAACTCCCTCAGCCCCACCATGGCACCCAAGCTCAGCTTAGAGGTTCGAAAACTCAGTAACGGCAGGTTGTCAACATCCCTGAAACTGGGGCCCTTGCAACCTCGGGGAGTGCCACTTCGGGAGAAGAAGGCAACCCAGATGCTGGTCATTGTGCTTGGTGAGTTTGGAAAAGGTTGAGCTGAGCTGAGTTAGGTTGAGTTGGGTTAGGCTGAGTTTAGTGCAGCTGGCAGAGGGTTAAGGTAACCACAGTTGACAGAACTGGAAATCCAATGATGGTTATATTTATAAATGTTTATCATATGACTGAAAGGGGTTTGTGTATAAATGTTAACTGGTGGAAATTGCAAGACCTAGACCAAAATTTATGAAATATGAAACTCAGCAGGTCACCTTATCAGGCTGCGCTTATCCATTGTGTTTGTTGTCTATCACATGGACTTACAATAATGGATAAATTAAATAATAAGTAAGATAATGATTAAGTAAAAGTGTGTGGTATTTACCAGATATTTAACAAATGCTTACTCTAAAATATTAAGTAAAAAAAATAGGGATGCAAAAAACGATGGTCATATGGTATGATAAAATCTAGATGATATGAAATACAGAGAGAAAAAAAACCTGAAAATTAATTCACCAAGATGTCAAAAGTGATTGACTTTGCGTGGTGGGTATTTTTCTTCTTTCTACTTTTCTGTATTTACCAAATTTTCCATAATATATAAAATCAGAGCTAGTTTTTATAGTAAAAAAAATAACTTATTAAATAAATATTAATTTATTTAAATTAAAAAAATTGAGAAATCACAGGTACCATATAGAGTGGAAGTAATTCATCCTCTTATCACTGACAAACCACGCCTCCTCATACCTCAGGGACTTTATGAGAACCCCTAGATGTAATCTCCTCAACAGCAGGAATTGTGTCAATTGTGTCTTTAGGGTCTTCTTTCCTGTCAGTGCCTAACATCAAGTCTTGATGGATAGACATTAAATAAATATTTGGTTTAAATTAACAAGTAGAAAGAACTACCTAAAAATCAAACTAGAAAATTGATTTAGGAACAAAGGCCTAAGATGAATCAAAGATATTTTGATGTTTTCTCATCAAAAAAAAAGAAAAAGTGGCTAATCACACCTACTTCACAGGGTTGGTTTAAGAATTAAATGGGTATGTAAAACTTCCTGCATAGTAACTGGCATAAAGGAAACAAGCATGAGTCATTTTCATGTTATAACAAAACAAGTACGAAAACCTGTTACCCAGTTTTTCTCTCCCTTTGCGACCTAGGGACCTTCATTGTCTGCTGGCTGCCCTTCTTTTTGACCCACGTCCTTAATACCCACTGCCCAGCATGCCACGTGTCTCCAGGGCTTTACAGAGCCACAACATGGCTGGGCTACGTGAACAGCGCCCTCAACCCTGTGATCTATACCACCTTCAACATTGAGTTCCGTAAAGCCTTCCTCAAGATCCTGTCTTGTTGAAGGAAAGGAGAGAACACCTCCTATGTCCACCTTTAGCTGCCATGCCATTGGGCCACTGGCCAGGGCCTGCTCCTAAAGACTCTGCCATGACCTCTGGCATGTAATAGGAAGAAGATTGCTGGAGCCAGGATGTCTCTGAGTGGCACATGCAATCAACTGCTTCCTGCAAAACAGAATGGTCTACCTCCCCAGCTAAAATCTGACTTCATCTTGGTAATCTTCAAATGGTTGGAAGGCCCCTGAGTGATAAGCAATAATTCAGAAAGAAGCTGATAAAACGTGACTCTATGCATACACATAATTATCATCAGAGGCATGATCCATTACAGTGAAGGAAAAATGAACAGATCTCATAATTCTCAACTTGCCAGGAGTCCTTGAAATGTCAGCCAGTGAGCCATCTTGCAGAACAGACAGCCTTTCTTCCTTCAAACCTCTAATTCACTGTCAGGCTAACCTTGTACTGATATGAGCCCACTCCTTTTTGGTTATTCCTTTCATTCATTGTATCCTGAAATATAATGGCAAGGCCAATGCTGCTACCTCTTTATGGGATCTGTAGAGACATCACTCACCCTGAAAGATACATTGTCCCACATTGGGACCTAAGCTTCATTTCAAACCTCGCTACCCCTATATTTTAGCTCTAGCTATGAGATCCTTTGATTCCATCCCCTTACACTCAAAGAGTCTCAACACCAGAGTAATTCAAGATGGGGGTGTTAAGTGAAAAAGGAATGACAATCCCATTGTAGTATTGTTCTTGAACCTTGTGGTTCAGAACATGCCTTAGATATGCTTTTCATAATGCTACAAGGTTTTCCTCCCCAGGCATCTCCATCTCCTGTGTAACAGAGACCCAGTACTTTCAGACTCTAAAACTCATTAAGTATTAAGTGTCTGCAAAGTGCCTGTTACCTCCCAGGTTCTGCATATATGACAATGAATAATACAGATCCTGTCCTCAAGGAGTTTGCCACCTGCTCCTGTGTTTGCCCATTTACTTGTAGAAGAAGGTAGGGACTCGCCTAGACCACGGAGAACCTCGGAACTGAAGCACCAGGCAGGGAAGCTGTCCAAAACCATCACATGGAAAGTGTTTGTAAAGCCCTAGCACAGATCCTAAACATCACCATTCCAACAACTGAGATTAAAGGTATCCTATATAATAAAAGGCTAATACGCATCAACCGAATGGCAGAACGACCAGTCGCTCTGATGTGCATTGACCACCAGGGGGCAGATGCTCAGCGCAAGAGCTGCCCCCTGGTGGTCAGTGTGCTCCCACAGGGTGAGCATTGCTCAGCCAGAAACTGGGCTCACGACTGGCGAGTGCAACGGCGGTGGCAGGAGCCTCTCCCGCCTCTGTTGCAGCACTAAGGATGTCTGACTTCTCACAGGGAGCAGGCCTAAGCCATCAGTTGGACATCCTCCGAGGGCTCCCAGACTGTGAGAGGGTGCAGGCCGGACTGAGGGAACGCACCCCCCACCCCCAGTGCACAAATTTCGTGCACCGGGCCTCTAGTATAGAAATAATGTGTAAATGTCATTCAAAATTGCATTTAGAAGGAACTTGAATATTCTCATCATTTACCTTCTCACCTTCAGAAGCTATTATTGATTACAGAATTAACATATAATTTGTAGATAATTTATGAAATGTTATCCCAAACCTCAAAAAATTTACTGTTAGTATTAGTGCATAGGCATGACATACCTGCTGCAATGCTGTTAAACTTTAAAGTGCACCAGAAATTTACAAGGGCTCCAAGGCTTCCCTTTCCCCTTTCCTCTAGCCCTTAAGTGTACAATTCAGCAGAAGGAAATATTTAGTGAGTCAGTTACCTGTTACTCCTAAATGCTTTTAATGCCAGCATTTTTAAATTTTATTCTCTATAACAATGTGTATATTGTAACTCAGTAAGCAATTCTGACTTGTGCTAGTTCTTGTACCTTGTGCCATTTAACTCCGGTTTATGGTGCAAGCAAAACTGGGGACTGAAACAATTAAATATCTGAAGAAATAAAAGTACATGATTCCTAAGTTTTTCCACATAAAATCAACAGCAAATAGGTTGGACAATGGGGTAGAAGATCACAGAATTCCATGTCAAAATCAGAGTTCTAGGATAGAAACATAAACAGCATTAATATTAATAGATTTGTGAGGAATTATAGCAAATATTTATATCCTCTCTCTGCATCAAGTCATACAACCCTAGTGATAACCTTAGCAAGATAAACTCCATCTGCAGACTGAGGCAGAGGAAAGTTAAGAAATTTGCCCCAAGTCACACACAGTAAGTGACAGAGCTGGGATTCGAATATATTTCTATCCAATTCCTGAGCCCATACAATTAACCACTTCCTCCCACCATAGAGATAAAGGGATGGGAAGAAACAGGTGGCAAGAAAAAGATGGAACAAGATCCCTGGGAGAGCCTCGCTTTATTCCATCTGCCTCCACCTCTAGGCTTTCCTGAGAACACGGCCCAAGGGATTACTCTCTCTCTCGTGCCAAGTTCTGAAACAGTCAGTGGGGAAATCCATAATCTTTTTTTAAAAATATGTTTTTATTGATTTCCTAGGGAGAAGATGATGAGAGGGAATCACTGATCAGCTGCCTTCTGCATGCCCCTTACTGGGGATCGAGCCTGAAACCCAGGCCTCTGCCCTGACTGGAAATTGAACCCTGACCTCCTGGTTCATAGGTCGATGCTCAACCACTGAGCCATGCCAGCTGGGCCATAATCCAGTTTTATAAAATCATGGGACAGTCCTTAGAGAACATTTGCTTTCACCCTGTCCTTCATTTACAGAAAAAGAAATTGAGGCCTAAAACTGTTGTCCCATGTTGGTTAATGGAAAACACTCAAATCTGCTGAATCCTAGTTCAGTGGTCTTCCCCAGGAGCCCTATAAAAACTACGAATGCCATACAGGTAGAAGAAGGAAGTCATATTGTCACCTCCACTGTAAACTGAGAGGAACTTTTTCCCTAGACAGTGGCAATTAGGAGACAACATTGCCTCCCCAGAATTTCCTTCTCATCTAGGAAGAGCCTCCTGGGGAATCCTAAGCACTCACTTCAACCTCTTCATCCTAGGATTCTGCATTCTACCTCCTCTACTGCTACAGTTCCTACATAATCCAGCAAACTTAACCTCAGAGCTCACTGCTTTCAGAGCCAACAAGGCCAAAAATCCCAGGAGAGATGTTGGCCTGATGAAGCAGAGCAGAGTTCTTGGGGCAAACCAAGTCTGGGGCCAAATGTAGCCTCATATCTGCCTATACCACTTGGGTGAAATGCAAATAGTATGTAAATCCAAATAGATTACAACCAACAATCAATTTGAGACCTTAAGTAAATATTTCCTTCTTCCAAGACACCATGCTCCAAAACTCCAGTCCTTATTCATTTATTAAATCAATCACAAATGTGGATTGATTGCCTTCTGTGTCCCAGGTACAAAACTTGGTGCTAGGAAACATGATTGAAGAAGAAATAGTCCTGCCAGGCCGTCATGGCTCAGTGGTTGAGCGTTGACCTATGAACCCGGAGGTCATGGTTTGATTCCCAGTCAGGGTACATGCTTGGGTTGTGGGCTCAATTCCCCATTTGGGGGCATGCAAGAGGCAGTCAATCAATGATTCTCATCATTGATGTTTCTATCTCTCTCTCCCTCTCCCTTCCTCTCTGAAATCAATAAAAATATCCTATATAATAAAAGCCTAATATGCAAATTGTCCCCTCTACTGGGAGTTCGACCCAGAGTTCAACCACTCACTATGATGTGCGCTGACCACCAGGGGGCAGCGTGAAACATGGCGAGCGTCAGCAATGGGGTGCCGGCAGCAGGCGGCAGTGGAGGCGCTGCCGGCCCTAATGGGACTCTGATGGGACCACGGCAGGATGGTGGAGCAGGTGAGCAGGCAGTACTAGGCCAAGGCGGATGTGAGCAGGGCCAATCGCTCTGCCCATTGCCCTGCAGGCGGTGACCAGCATCCATTACCGAGAAAGGGCAAATAGCAACATTAAAATATTTCTTTTAATTGTTTTCCTTTCAATGTGCATGAATCCGTGCACCAGGCCACAAGTATATATATATATATAGTCCTTGCCCCCAGAAGCTTGTAGTCCAGGAGGTAAGGTGTGGGGGGGCAGAATTCATGTGCATGGTGGTGACCCACTTGTTGTCTATAGTAAAAGGAATTGATGGTGTTTGGAAATCTCATACTCAGCCTTGAGATGGCTTCCCATACAAGAATTGTTAGGATTGAGACATCATTAAAAGTAAGAGGGGTATTCCAGGCATAGGAAAACCTCTGAAGAGCTAAAGATAACACAAGCAAGGAGCATGCAAGGAATCTCAAGCCCATCTGGCCACAAAGAAGGAATCCTGGGGACAGGACAGGAAAGGAAAGGGCCTCATCTTTGGAGCCCTCCTCCAGTTTTGCTCAGGTGTCAGCTGAGCTGGTGGTGACACCTCTCACAAAAGACTTCCAGAACTTTCCTCCCACTTCCCTCCATGTGGGCAACATACATCACAGAACAACCATCACTGACTTACTTAACAGTGGTCTTTCTGAGCTACAGTGAATTTCAACAAATGCAGAATTCAACTTCAGTTACTTCTTGTTTTCTCTACCAGAGGGGAAATGGCTACTTGAATGAATGTAGAATTATAGATGGTTAATATTAAGGCAGTTCTGAGAGTTTGGATCTGAAATCAATAGAAGTCAAGCAAAGAGATTTGTTTTCCTGAAAGTGTGGGTCAGAACTAAGCAGAGAGGTAAAAAGGTTAAAGGATTCGCTCAGAACTGGCTGTTTCCTGGAGGTCCTGACTCCCAGGCCTATGCTTTGGTCCTTTAGTCTCTGCTGACATCAGAAAACTGAAAAAGCTTAATTTGAATCAACACACAGAGAGCAGAGAGGGGATGACAGGCAATTAACTTGATGCCTCCTTTCTACCTAATTCTCTCCTCATCAGGAAGGGAGTGAGTTTCCATGACTACCTCCTGACACAGAGACTCAGTTGAGGGTGATGCTGGTGTCAGCTCAGCTCTTTATCACACACTGGCAGAGGCAGAACCTGGGAGTCTGTCCAAGCACAAGATCTGGGACTTCTTGCTCCACCCACCCTCACCTCAATTAATCACCCAGTCACCTTAATTGTGCATCAAGTCCCTGCTCTGTGCAGAATCTGCTAGGTACTGGGAGGAGAGGAGAGCTGGTGTAGGCCTCTGAAGATGGATGTGCCCCCAGGAGGGTGCTGTGCTGAACCACCTTATAAAAAAGACAATGGACAGCAAAAAAAACCAGTTTTAAGTAGAGAAGCCGTATAGCCTCAGAAATAAGTCAAGGGCTAGAGTTCTAGTGTTAGCATGGACAAGTGACCTTGAGCAAGTGTTTTAACCTCTGTGAACTTCAACTTTCTCATTAGTAAAATGGGAGACCTGAAGGCCTGGCTTTCCTCACTAAACCATTTGCAATTTAGATGGCCCTGGCAGGCTAGAGTGTTGGCCTGTGCACCAGAGGGTTGTGGGTTCAATTTCCAGTCAAGGGCACGTACCTCCTGGTCGGGTGGCATGTGGAAGGCAAACAATCAATGTGTCTCTTTCACAATGATGTTTCTCTCTTTCTCTTCTCTCTCTCTTCCTTCTCTCCCCTCCCTCTTCCCCCTCCCTTCCACTTTCTCTAAGAAAAAGTCAATGGAAAAAAATATTCTCACTCCTTGGGTGAGGATTAAAAAAATAATAATAATAAAATTTAGATAAATCATGTAGTAGAAGTGCTATGTCAACCATCAAACTCTACTTACACATGTAAAGATAATAATTATAATTGATATTAGTATTAGCATTAGTATTATTTTCCCCCCAAGCAGCTGTTTCTATCATACCTATCTGGTTCACAGCCCACCTTCCTTTCTCTTTGCTAATTCTCTAATTGTCTCAAGTTATTAGGTGCAGTCTGTTCAGCCTCCCACATGAGATCTTATTTTTCTCTTATATTTTATTCCCTAAATGATACTTGGCTGAATGTGTAATCATATTGTTAGGCAAATGGATAGTCCCAACAGGGCACCCTTTCCCTGTTCACACAGCCAAGTGCCCAAATATGGCCTGATTTCAAACCAGGACAATGCTGATACTCGATGCTTAAGGCAATTTTGGGGCCTCAATTCCTGTGCTGGCC